CATCACAACAGTGTTATAAATAACTGAGGCCTATAAATTACCATGGAAATGCATCAATAGGCATTCTGCCAACAGATGCAGTGAGGTATCATCAGCCTGAAGAACCTGAAGTCACAAACAGTAGTGCTGGATTTGTGTGGACGTGTATTTCACTCACCAATACAGCCACTCAACATCAACTGCTCACTGGTCCACTTGTAGTGTTTCCATCGATTTCTTGACACAGTTTAACCATGTAGTGGACCTCTGGCCCAGGTGTGGTGCGACCTGGAAACAAACAAACACTTAAAACTTTTTTAAAATTGCTTAAATAGCTCCAGGCAAGTGTGCTCACTGTCCCCTAGTGTGTGTGTTCACTAGTGTGCATGTATGTGGGTGTTTCACTGTGCGGATGGGTTAAATGCGGAGGTCTAATTCCACAGTGTGCAAAGCACAGTTGGCTTATGGTTCTGAATTAAGTTCAATTCAATTCCATAAACTCACAGAAGAAGACGTGATGTAAATGTAATGTAAAACTCAAACTTCATGCCACAGCTTTTTTTTTTAACATCGCGCCACTTTACCTGAAAATATGTCATCTAAAAGGTGAAGAATTTTTAAATCCATTATTTCGTGTTTGGTTTTAGCATTGCTCCAAAAGTGTTTTGCTGTGTCTCGCGGCAAGGCTGCTTGATTATTTCTGGTACCGCTGTCTGTTCCCACGCATGCGCAGACTGAGACATCCAAAAGAAATCAGAGTAAGAGCTAAAATCCAGCCTCTTTATCTAATTTTAATCAGATTTCTAGATGGGCAAATGGTGTTTAAATGACCATTTGAATAATCGCTGCAGATAACTGATTTTGATCAGATTACTGAGTGCATGTAAACACACTCACTGTTTTAATGCTTCTCTGTTATTTGGGGGATGTCCATTCCTATGTGTCCCCCTGTAACGTCATCTCGCTGCATCCTGTTCATTACAGTGGAGAGCTCTGCTGCATGGTGTGTAGTGCATGATGGTTTGTGATGTGGTAACATTTGGGGCTTGGACCTGGATTTTCTATAAAGCGGCTCGTGGCAACATCTCTTGCACTGCAAAAAATGGAATCTTGTCGAGTAAAATTATCGCAAATCTAGTCAATAAATCTAATATTTCTCCTGGTTAGATTCCTGAAAGCTTATTTCAAGATTATATAACTTATTTCCAAACAATTTTAGCTTGTTTTAAGTGATTTTATTAAGTAAATTTATCTCACTATAGGCAGATAATTTTGCTTGTTTTGAGAAATGTGCTTGAAACCAGCTAAATGATCTGCCAGTCTACTGAGATAATTTTCTTGATAAAATTACTTAAAGCAGGTAAAATGTCTAGAAATAAGCTTGATAATCTTATAATAAGTGTACAACCATCTCAAAAGAAGTAAGTAAGATAATTTCACTTGACTTTATACTATTTTTTGTAGTGTGTAAAAGCACATATAAATAAATTTGACTTTCATTTTGGCTTTGACTTAAGATTTGGAGAGAAGATGTTCGATTGGATAAAGTTTGCGTGTTTCTAGCTGGAAGACAAAATGTAAGCCATATAGAGGTCGGAGGTTACTTGCTAAGGTTGCTAGTTTGCTAGTGAGGTTAAGCAAGCTAACTTTCTATCTTGTATGGACGACTGCTGCATTCCGAAAATCATAAAAAGCACAAATCTACATTCGAGTCTAATTTAAAGCTTCTGTGCAACAGCAAACAGCATTTCAGAGTGTTTACTGGTCCAGATGTGTCCAATAAGGTCCCTTCATTTCCATAACAAAACACCCACCAGCAGCGAGACAAACACATATACTATATTTCCGAAAGTATTCGCTCGTCTGCCTTCACATACATATGAACTTGAGTGACATCCCATTCTTAATCCATAGAGTTTAATATGATGTCGACCCACCCTCTGCAGCTATAACAGCTTCAACTCTGGGAAGGCTTCCCACAAGGTTTAAGTGTGTTTATGGGAATTTTTGACCATTCTTCCAGAAGCGCATTTGTGAGGTCAGACACTGACGTTGGACAACAAGGCCTGGCTCGCAGTCTCCGCTCTAATTCATCCCAAAGGTGTTCTATCTGGTTGAGGTCAGGACTCTGTGCAAGCCAGTCAAGTTCTTCCACACCAAACTAGCTCACCAATGTCTTTATGGAACTTGCTTTGTCCACTGGTGTGTAGTCATGTTGGAACAGGAAGGGGCCATCCCCAAACTGTTCCCACAAAGTTGGGAGCATGAAATTGTCCAAAATCTCTTGGTCTGCTGAAGCATTAAGAGTTCCTTTCACTGGAACTAAGGGGCCGAGCCCAACTCCTGAAAAACAACCCCACACCATAATCCCCCCTCCACCAAACTTGACACTTGGCTCAATGCATTCAGACAAGTACTGTTCATCTGGCAACCCCCAAAACCAGACTCGTCCATCGGATTGCCACACGGAGAAGCGTGATTTGTCACTCCAGAGAACACGTCTCCACTCCTCTAGAGTCCAGTGGCGGCACTTTACACCACTGCATTCGACGCTTTGCATTGCGCTTGGTGAAGTAAGGCTTAGATGCAGCTGCTCGGCCATGGAAACCCATTCCATGAAGCTCTCTACGCTGTTCTTGAGCTAATCTGAAGGCCACATGAAGTTTGGAGGTCTGTGGTGATTGACTCTGCAGAAAGTTGGCAAACTCTGCGCACTATGCGCCTCAGCATCCGCTGACACCGCTCTGTCATTTTACGTGGCCTACCACTTCGTGGCTGAGTTGCTGTCGTTCCCAATCACTTCCACTTTGTTATAATACCACTGACAGTTGACTGTGGAATATTTAGTAGCGAGGAAATTTCACGACTGGACTTGTTGCACAGGTGGCATCCTATCACGGTACCACACAGGAATTCACTGAGCTCCTGAGAGCGACCCATTCTTTCACAAATGTTTGTAGAAGCAGTCTGCATGCCTAGGTGCTTGGTTTTATACATCTGTGGCCATGGAAGTGATTGAAACACCTGAATTCAATGATTTGGATGGTGAGTGAATATTTTTGGCAATATAGTGTATGTAGTCTTTGGAGGGGGTCATCCCACCCCTCCAAGACACAGACACAAGCTTGTGGATGATTAGTTTACTTTTCCCGGCTATAAGTATGGCACATATACCACAAAATATAGTTTCATTCCTCAGCTCATCTGTCCACAACAATGCACTCAGTATTCTTTTTTCAAAAGACGATAATCTATGTGTGTAAAGAATTAAAATAAAAACCAAATAAAATAGTCTTTTACCTTTATTTTACAATATACCGATTTAAAGTAGTACTCAATATTATTATTATCAGACACATCATACATGGCTCATTGATTGGGTTCCTACATATTAATGTCTACATGAAATATACAGTATACTTGTGAACAAATTTCCTTTATCATCCATTTTTAGAATTATTCACCATAATTAAGCAAAAAATATAGAATACCGCCATCTGGTGGCCAAAACGAGAAACAAGCTCTCCATCCCCGTGGAAACCCAACCTCACGAGCCTGCTAACTTGTAGCTACAGCTCACAAAACAAAATTGGAGCAAATTACATTATAAATAAAACAATGAATACTGTGAAATGCACTTTACCTTACCTGCAATGAGCACAGCAACTACAAAATGTAGTTTCAGTCCTACTTTGGTCAGCTTTTCTGTCTAAATGAAACAAGCTAGCGTTAGCACAGCGTCATGTAGCTACAACAATAACATGATAGCTCACTGTGCTAGTTCCAACTTCAATATATTGGAGTACTCTAAGGAGTATTATTTATGAATATTTAAGTTAATTGGATATTATTGCTCTTTTCAGTGTTTCTTTACTTTTATTCCTGGGACACAGTCTGAAACATTACTTACCCAGAGCAATACACTCGATTTACTTTAACGAGAGTTTCCCATGATTCCTTTATAAAGACGAGGCTGCATTTCACTGACTGACCAGTGGGGGGTGCCAAACTCATTACGCGGCAATTTCACTTAATAGCTACCAAACACAGCTATTTTTCACAGTTACTCGATAGATAGATAGATATATAGATAGATAGATAGATAGATAGATAGATAGATAGATAGATAGACAGTGGATAGATAGACAGACAGATAGATTGATAGACAGATAGACAGACAGATAGATAGACAGACAGACAGATAGATGGATAGACAAATAGACAGACAGACAGATGGATGGATAGACTGTATCTGACTGCTTTATAGGAAGAAGTAGCTCTTCTGTAGTTTAGGGTTCAAAGCGGTCTGCTTGCGCGAGTTGATGCTGTTTTAATATTTATAGCTTGCAAACGAGTGGGCGGGGAGGCGAAGTGTGAATGGGCGTGTCGGTCTGGAGAAGGGGCGTGTCTTCTGAAACAGTGATCTCACAGAGAGCCGCGCGGTCGGTGTGCCGGTGCGCTGAGGACTCGGCTGGCTGTGATTGGGGATGCAGCCCGTGTGTGTGAGCGCTGTGTTTGGGCAGTGACGAGCGGCGGAGGTGGACAGAGCTGGACAGCAGCAGCGGCAGCGGAGAGGTACAGTGACGCACCAGAAAATATGACCAGCTTCTGTAGCAGTTTGGCACGCTTAGCCAAAGCGTGGCGCAGTGCTCAGTCTCACTGCACCAGAGTTCCTCTTCACTGGTAGTCTCTGCAAATGTGTCAGTGTTTGGGAAAACTGGATGAGGATGTTGCGTTTGCTTTTTTTCAGGAGTGTCGTCACCAACTCGCGAGTGGCGGAGATCTTGCTGTTGGTGGTTTGGGAATCTCTTCGTGACCATTTGGACGCAACTTTAACCCCCCCCCCTTCTTGCCTTTGCAATGGTGACATATGGAAGGCTTGCCGAGCTGTTCGCGTTAGCAGCGCGAGACGTTACCGCCGTCTCCGTCACCATGGGTGCCAATACTTTTGCCTGAAACCGTTCCAAGCAGCACCACATATGCGCGTGCAGCCTGTTGGAGTGCAGGGCTGTAGGGCAGAGAGCAGCTGAAGCTGAGGGAATGGCCGCTGAGTGCCAGCCTCTGGAGGAACGGGTCTGGATGCCATAAGCAGGTGGACAGAGGGGCAGAAAAGTGGGGGGGCTCGGGAGGATGCCCACCGGGGCAAATGTGCACTCTTCTCCGGCGGTGGCAGCCAACGCTGAGGGAGAGGAGATCGAGGTGCTGGAGAGCACAGAGGTTCTTCCAGCAGCACCTGAAGATGTAAGTAGTCAGTTAACTTTACTGTGCAACCAGTACAGCAGAGTTTCAGCTCGTTAAAGGGCCCATATCTTACATTTCTCATGTATTTTGGTTTTACCCTCCCGTCGCCCCTACCTGCCCCACATACACAAGGCTGCTTGATAGAAATACAAGGTAGGTGTTTCTAATAAAGTGACCACATTATTAGAAACGCCTATTTTGGATTTCTACCAACTGGTCACTTTATTAGAAACACATCTTGTACTTCTAACAACTGGCCACGTTATCAGAAACATACCTTGTATTTCTATCAAGTAGCCACTTTATTAGAAACACCTATCTTGTGCTTCTATCAAGTGGCCACGTTATTGAAAACACCTACCGTGTACATACTCTAACTGGCCACTTTATCAGAAACACCCACTTTGTACTTCTATCAAGTGGTAGGTGTTTCTAATAAAGTGACCACATTATTAGAAACAGCTACATTGTCTTTCTACCAATTGGTCACTTTATTAGAAACACCTACCTTGTACTTCCACTAACTGGCCACTTTATTAGAAACACCTACCTTGTACTTCCACTAACTGGCCAATTTATTAAAAATACATATCTTAAATTTCTAACAACTGTCCTCTTTATCAGAACCACCTACCTCATACATCTATCAAGTGACCACTTTATTAGAAAGACCTAACTTGTACTTCCACTAACTGGCCACTTTATTAGAAACACCTACCTTGTATGACTACCAACTGGCCCCTTTAATAGAAACTTATGTCTTATACCTTTACTAACTGACCACCTTTTTAGAAACTCCCTCTGTGGTTTCCAGGGGTTTCTGATAAAGTGGCCAGGCAGTGTACACGAGCGCCATACAGATTGTAGATCTTCAGAGCTCATCAGTTTCTTCCATATTCCTCTCCTGCTCACTCTTATTTCCTTTTCGCTCTCTCCCCGTTTCTCTCTCTCTTTCTCTCTTATGCTCATTTCCTCGTGCAGCAGTGGAAGTCTCTGTTTGATAAGGTAGGTTCTCCATCTCTCTGTCTCTCCACCAGGGACTCATACTCACGTGTTTGCGTTCTAATGAACTTTAACCTAATCTCTGAGTGTCTAGAGCAAATCAGATTTTAAAGCAATGCAGATTTGAAGATGATGGAAGGTTTTGAGCAGGAGGTTCATTTGCATCTATACTGCTTTCTCTCTGTGCTTAGCAGTCATTGTGGATTGTGTTGTATTGGTGGATTGAGTCTGTTTATTGGCTCCCAGTATATATTGGCTGTCAAAAGTTTGGGGACACAGATTTTCAGCAGTGGCGTATTGTGACTGTCAATGCTAGGCCTTTAGTTTAGGCAGTCCAAACTTAAAAAACAAGGGAAAAAAACACCAGTACCATCATGCTAATTTCTGCTAGCACCACTATGGGACTCTAGCAGTATGTTAGTGCTAAGGTAATGGCAAGTCACATGAACATGTTTTTGGCTGTTCTAGATTTTACACGGGCACTTTAAGCTTTTGAAAGACATTTATATATTTGAGCATGTATGTGTCACATTTACAGTGATATTTTACATTGACTCTTTCAGTAAAGAGTCTGGGCATAGAGCTGCCGTCGCTGTTTGCCATTCCTAACAACTAACCTCTGAACACAAAATTGTAAATAAGCATGGTTGGTTGATTCCTCTTGCTTCTATCTACCTAGATACCTAGTTACCCTCCGATACTGATACATACATACATCATCTAAACCGCTTATCCTTCTGGGTCGCGGTGGGGTGCTGGAGCCTATCAGCGCTACCCACTGCGCCACCGTGCTGCCCCCGATACTGATATGATTCTGCTATTATTGTGCATCCCTAGTTAGTCACGTAATTATTTACATTACATTTATGTTCAGTATCAGCAGATTAAGGTCTGCACTTCTGACCTTTTCACATTTGTTTCAATGTTAGAAAATTACAAAATGTGAAGGATATGAAAAACTTTACACACAGTATTCAATGAATATTAATATTCATTCAATTAACATCATCCTAAAATATCTCCTCTTATACTTGCAAACATATATGTGGTGTAGATTGAAAGGTAGAATCTGCACTTTCCGCACAAATCATGCACTTTTTATTGCGTTGTGAGTCAGAAGTAATTCATCTAAAATTATAGCCTGACTTTGTTATTGTCAGTGACGTCTGTAGCTGAGGAATATTTGAAAGGTAACAGTGAAAATCAAATATTACTGGTGAACAGAAGGCAAGATGTCCTTAGACTGATGAAGGGGGGTGGAGGTGTGGCCTGCTGTTGGCGTTTGGGTGCTGCTGATAGTGGTGACCCTGATAGTGACCCGTGCAAATACGATTACAGTGACCCCTGTTACAGTGATGTGGGTATGTAAGTGGCCTCATCAGCGGGCGACTGACGGACGGAGAGAAAACCCTCATCCTCTCTCTCTCTCTCTCTCTCTCTCTCTCTCTCTCTCTCTCTCTCTCTCTCAAACTCTGCACCTGCCTAACCCTTAACCCCTCCCAGCACAAACACACACACACACACACACACACACACACACACATCCTCCCAGACACACTAGGGGAGGAGGACAATAGGGGAAAGTAAAATGGGGGGTAGATGATAAAGAAACAATTGCTTATGAGGCCACTAATTCTGGTTTTCTGCATTTATTTGACAAGAATATACATGTACATTTCTTTGGTTAAGGTATGTGCACATATAGATACTTACATATATGTAATAAATGTAATATGTGTCTTTTAGATATATATATATATATACACATAGGCACACATGCACACATGGAACATAATATTACATGTAGATGCAGGAGAAATTTATTTACATATAGATAACATATACACATAAGCAGTTATATATATATATATATATATATATATAACACGTATGGGACTGTGCTACAAGCCCGCATTCTGACATAGTAAAATACTGTGTGTGTGGATTTGCATTAGCTGGGCCTCTTTATCTGTTCTGCTTATTCAGGCGGCATCACTTTGTTCCTTATACAGTCTGGGATTTTGCCTAGTGCTCAGGTCATGACCTTGCGAAGCTATAAATCTGCTGCATTGTGGGTATTGTAGGCTATAGAGACACATCGCCACACTCAGACCAAAGAGCTAATGAAGCAGTTAAATTGCAGGAGGAGCTGGAACAGCAGTCGTTTAGAGCACAAATATCCACAATCCATAAATAACACGCATACATATTCATCACACAAACATGAAAAGCTGTCAGCGCTGGGCGATTAGTTCCCGCTGCTGTTCCACTAGTGCTCTGGCAGATGGCTCTTTATGTCCTGCCTGTTTATGACAACTTCCTAATAAGTTGTGTTTTTTTTTTAAATAAATACTTAACTGTTAAATCTCTCTGCAGTTTAATTCACTTTTATTACAGTGTGTGACATAATAATAGAACTGCATAAAAATGTGTCATTATGTACACATAATATTGCAGCGGCACCAAGACAGTGTAGATGGTAGTAGGGCTGTAGGTGGTAGTAAGGCTTCTATGAATGATTAACCTGTTAATAATGATTTGATTAATTGACCATTGTGCTGCCACCATTAACAAGCAGTTTCTCATTTTATATTGCATTGAGACAATAAAAGCCAACCAACAAACAAATATATAAACATTATAGAGCATGATAGAGCACTTTTTAAATGAAACATCTATCGCCTCCTAAACTTCCTGTAGCGTATTACAGTTAGAGCTGGGCGATATGGCCAAAAACGTTATCACGATAAACAAAACTCATATCGTTCGATATCGATACATATCGCGATAAATGTCAAAATATGACGTTTGAAGGCTGATTTTGCTCCTGGGTGGTTAATTGTAGTTTTAAACTATCACTTATGGTCCGATCATGACAAACACTCGGCAAACAGTGGAACATTTCACTAATCTGTCATGGAAGAGTGGGAGAAAGTTTCTGAGCTGTTTTTATCAGCTTGAAAAGCACAGCTGCAATTTTTGTAATAGTCATGATTTAAGAAAGAAAACAGATTATTTTTAGCTGTCTGGTGACGAGCACTTGGCTACCGCGTTACAAATGCTAAACAAGTGGCCAACAACAGAGCTAAACTCTTTAGTTTCTCAACAACGTCAGCTCGGTTCGGTAGGTCACTGCGGTCACTCCTACCACATCCATGTCAGAGCATATCACAGTATTCAGACACCAGCCAGCGACGACTGGGTTTCTCTATGCTACCGTAGTAGTTTAAGGGATGAACCGCAGTATATCTGACGTTCGCTGTGTAAAAGCATTATCTGCAGTGTGAATCTCTCACACCAGTCACAGAGTCCTCCTTTTAGCTATGTTTAAACTGAAAGCGGTGATTTTGTGTCTTGTTTGATCTACCGTATCATCAATTCACCGTGTTGTGCTGGAGCGCTGCTTCAAGTTAGCCAGCTGCTAAAAACAGCTAGCCTGGAGAGATAGCGCTCTCCCGCTCTCCAATGCCTCACAGCTTCCTCAGTTTACTTTCGAACATGAACCCACTTCTTTCACTTTCGTTGCGAGAGAATGCACTAATACTAAAATATGACGGTTTGGCGCTGAAACACGGCGCTGCAGACGTGATTTAACACCGCTAAAGTTGTTAGGATGCACGGAAAGAGGTGAGTTCGCTGTAGGACAGTACAGTTACACCACTGACCTCGTCACTCACACTCGGTCACAGGAGAACAGATCGCCGGTCGCTCCACTCAAACAGGGACTGTATAACTCCGCATTTCAGCCATTGCTAAAGTATATTTGGCGACCCTTTTTTTACTCGTGGCCCCCTCCTTCTCTAATCAAGTCGAAAAATTCGGAAGTGCGCCCTCTCCTGGCGACAGCTGAGTAATGTCGCTTTCCTTGCAGTAGAAAACGCCACCAGGGCTTTCGCTAAAATGTGGAAGTGTGAGAGTGGTGTATTATATCGAACATTTATCGAACCTGTCTTATCGCTCTATCGAGGAAAAGTTATATTGCGATACTTATCGTTATCATTTTATCACCCAGCCCTAATTACAGTCTGTCAGAATGACTGTGTGGATCATATGAACATTATAGAGCACTTTTTAAATGAAACAATAGAAGCCATATCGCCCCCTACACTTTCTGTAGAGTATTAGAGTCTGTCAGAATGACTGTGTGGATCATATGAACATTATAGAGCGTTTTTTAAATGAAACAGTAGAAGCCATATCGCCCCCTATACTTCCTGTAGTGTATTACAGTCTGTCAGATTGCATGGATAATATAAACATATATGCATTAGAGCACACTTGTTTCCTTTAAGCAAGTTAACATATCAGCCTTATTTGTTTTATAATTGACATTGTCAGCTCATCGTTGCAGCCTTACATATTAGTGTAGACACAATATTAAAGTGCAGTGTTTTCAGTATATCTGAACAATATGTATTCCATACTGTGCCAGCAGTAAATAAGTAGCAGATTTGTGTTTCAGAGAGATACTGGTGACTGGTGGTCTCAAGCACTGTAACCACATAATGCATATTATTGCACATTACATTCAAAAACTGCAGGAAACACAAGCCGTCCCGTTCACTGATTGGAAACGCTTGGTTGTTTCAGTGTTCTGCTGAGTTATATGGTGCTCGGTGGTGAATGGGGCAGCTGGGAAGGTCCGTAAATGGGTGAATTCAGTAGCATAGCTGATTATACGGTCAGCATAAAAGCATTCTTTTGATGAGTGTCTGAATTGCTGAGCTGCACCGAGTGTCACTGCGTGAGCGCAGTTCAGTCTGATTCGGAGGAATGGCTTTATTGGGCCTTTTTGTTTAGTTACAGTTCCTTTATTGTTGTCTCTTGGCATTAGCGGTGACCTTTGTGCTGGAATTTCATTATTTGTGCTCGGACTCACATGGTTCTTATGGAATTAAGATTAGCACTAATACTGGCACTAACCAGCCTGTGTTTGAAAATGGACAAAAGTGCATGTATAGTTCTGGCTTGAAGATAATGGCTACTACTCTTTTTAGCTGTGT